TCCTCTGACCACCACATGTGTGCCTTTGGATGCTGTGCCCCACACATGAACACACACACACACACAAGAAAACTAAAGATAGACATTGCCCCCACATAAGGCGCCCAACAATCCAAACCTTCGACCAGCAGCTGGAAACTCTGTGTCCGGCTCAGGAGGGGGACTATGGGTGTAGAGGCCTCGCATGTGTATGTGCCCGCAGAGTCAAAGGTAACAGAGTTGAGAGAGAGCTTGGGCCCGTTTGCGAGGGTCACAGAATCCTAGGGAAGGGACGATGGGAAGGAAGTCCCGTGAGAGGCCGAGAGGCTGAAGGAGCCCCCGAGGCCCCACAGCTCCTCCCTCCGGTCACCTTGGTCCAGCGCACAGTAGGAGCAGGCAGGCCTCTGGCTGAGCAGTCCACAACTGTGTCACTGCTGTTCAGGAACACGGAGACCTCCTCGGGCACACTCAGCAACAAGGGATCCAGATCTGCGGCGGGGAAAACGTGCTCACATTCCCCAGCCCCTTGCCCAGTCAGCCAGGGCCCCGAGAGGGCTATCGGGGCAGATAACACCACGTTGCTCTTTCTTCTGATTTGCCCTCTTACCATGACATCTTTACTTTCCATCCAGGCCCTTCAGACAACACCTCGGAGAGCTGCTCTAAAGAATGCGCTATCTGACCTGCTATCTGAAGTTTTATAGAGCTGAGGATGCCACGTGCCAGGCAGTGCTCTACCACTGAGCTACGCCCAGTAAAAAAGGTCACACAGTCCGCAATGCCATTTCTATGAAATGTCCCAACCAGCAAATCCACAGAGACAGAGGTAACCTGGGGCTTCTGGCCAGAGTTTGGAGTGCTGGTTAGTGTGCATAGGTTCCTCTCCAAAGGCTATGCAAACATTCTAAAGTTTACAATGGTGCAGTCTATACAACTGTGAACTCAGAAGCAACCACTCAGAGGCATGATTGAGGCTGGGGAGCACCAAGGCTGTGGCTTTGGATACAAGCCAAGCTCAAGGACAGCAATTTGCATCCTGTCAACATAAGCTTGCTTGTTGGAGGAGCTGGGAATGGAACTGAGGGCCTTGCACACACTATGTAAGCATTCTCCCTCTGAACCACACGCCCAGCTCCTCACTGGGGAATTCTAGGCAGGGACTCTACCACTGAGCCACACCCCCAGCCCCTCACTGGAGGATTCTAGGCAAGGGCTCTACCACTGATCCATACCCCAGCCCCTCACTGGGAGATTCTAGGCAGGGGCTCTACCACTGACCCATACCCCAGCCCCTCACTGGGGGATTCTAGGCAAGGGGCTCTGCTTCAGCTCTGTGCCACCAGCTCTCTATCCCAAGCTTTTGCTTAAGCTCAGTTTTTTTTCCTCTCCTCTGTACCACCTCCATAAAACCTTAACGGGCTTGGGCCAGCAAGATGGTGACTAGACACTTGCCACTAAGCCAGACAACCTGATATCACTTCTCTAGACCCACACGTTGGAAGGCGATGACTGACTTCTGCAAGTTGTCCTTGGACCTCCATATGCACACACACATGTATGCAAAAATAAGTAAAATGTAAGGATAATTCAAAGTGATCAGACAACTTTCTGGGCTCGTGGCTGGAGGTAGAGTATTTGCCTAGCTTGGATCAAACACCAGCACGTCAAAACACAAAAAAAATTCTGGCTGGGTTTGGTGGTTCATGGAGGTAAACCCAGCCCTTGGGAAGCTGAGACCGGAAGACCTGATTTTTCTGTTTCTGTCCTGAGGATTTCCCCGTACTCTACTTCATCTGACCGCACCTCCCCCCTACCCCCAACCATCTCTCTACTAGTCATTCTCTCTCTCTCTCTCTCTCTCTCTCTCTCTCTCTCTCTCTGTGTGTGTGTCTGTCTCTGTCTCTCTCTCTTTGGTTTTCCAAAACAGGGTTTCCCTTTGTAGCCCTGACTGGCCTGGAACTCAGAGATCCGCCTGCCTCTGCCTCCAGAGTGCTGGGATTAAAGGCGAGCGCCAACACCACCGGGCTTATCCCTCACTTTTTTTTTTTAAGATTTATTTATTTATTATATATACACTGCTCTACCTACATGCCAGAAGAGAGCACCAGATTGAATTGTAGATGGTTGTGAGCCGCCATGTGGTTGCTGGGTATTGAACTCAGGACCTCTGGAAGAGCAGTCAGTGCTCTTAACTTCTGAGCCATCTCTCCAGCCCTCATCCCTCACTTTTTCAAACTTGTATTTCTATCATGCGTTGTGTGAGGGCATGTGTGAGCATAAGTGCGTGCTACACGGATGGAGGTCAGAGGACAACTTGCTGAGGACGGTTCTCTCCCTCCTTCGTGTGAGACCCGAGAATCACCCTTGGATCGTTGGGCTTGGCGGCCAGCTCCACGGCTTGCTGAGCCATGTTGCCAGCCTGGATCCTCACCTTTGTCTTCTCCACCCATCCTCCACTGAGCGTCCCGAGGGATGTTTTCAAAGAACACACTGGGGCATCTACCTCGTAAAAATGCAGCTCTGACTCCCAGTACCCTAGGCACCATGGCCAAATTACCAAAGTCTACAAAAGCCTGCCTAGTCTTTGAACACTGTCTCCGTATCTGCTTAGCCTCAGAGACCTTGTTTTTAGGTTTAGTTTTCTCAAGAATACCAAGTTCTGTCTCTAGGGCCTTCACACACACTGGCTCATCCTGCCTGCAGCAGAGGCTTCCGGCTCTTATCCACGTGTCTCCTGCTCTCAGAGCCCCCCCCCTCCCCCGCGGCCACCCGGAGCCCGGGATCTCCCTTGCAACACCAACAACTGATTGCCCCAGCTGCTGCAAGGGCTGGCAGCTGTCAGCCCTCAGCTGTCAGGCCTCGGGAATGCCCTCAACTGCAAGGAGCCCCTTGTCCAAGGTCATACCCGCTTCCCTGAGTGACGCACAGTCAGGTCCAGCTTCTTCATGCTAACCGGGGACAACTGTGGAGTGTCGTCTCCCCTCCCCCAGACCTTGTGTCAATCACAGTTAAACTTCCACTCCTGCCCATCCTTGCAGCTTCTGAATACATGGGTCACAAGAGACTTTCCATAAACACTCTACCTGCAGACCTGGTGTGCGAACGCTTCCAGGAACTCAGACTGTGACAATCCTGTGTCACCTAGCACCTCCATCTTATCAAAGTTACTTCTTTAAGACACACTCCTGTGACTGAAAGGTTTCTGGTCAGCACATGAGAGTCTCAGCTACTATGCTGGGACTGCATAGTGAGTTCAAGGCCAGGCAAGCTTCATGAGACTCCGTCTCAATTAAAACAAAACAACCAAACACAGGCTGTGGAGACAGCTCAACAGGTACAGTACTTGCTGTGTAAGCATGAGAGCTAGAGTCCTAGAGCCCCTGCCTAGAATCCCCCAGTGAGGGGCTGGGGGTGTGGCTCAGTGGTAGAGCCCCTGCCTAGAATTCCCCAGTGAGGTACCACCTTGAAGCCCCAGTTCCTACCTAAAAGGCTGGGTGTAGTTTTGCATGCTTATTCTTGGCAGTCAGGAGGCAACGGCAGAAAGGTCTATGGGGCATGCTGGCTAGCCAGCCAGTCTAGCTTAATCAGAGAGCTCCAGTCCAATGAAGAGATCCTTCTCAAAAAATACAGTGTTAATCCAGAAAAACAACAGCTAAGGTTGACCTCTAACCTCAACACACACATGCATTCACACACGAAAGAACACTTTCTTCCTAGAGAACTGAACGTAAAAGCTGCTTTGAAACCCAGGGTCAGCCGGGCGTTGGTGGCGCACGCCTTTAATCCCAGCACTTGGGAGGTAGAGGCAGGCGGATCTCTTTGAGTTTGAGGCCAGTCTGGTCTACAAAGCTACAAGAGAAACCCTGTCAAAAAAACACAAAACAAAAAAGAAAGAAAGAAAGAAGGAAAGAAAGAAGAAAGACAGAAAGAGAAGAGAAGAAACCCAGGGTTAGAGCCAGGTGAGAAATCAGTGAGCATAAGCTTGAGGAATGAGTGAGAAAGAGAGGAGCCTGGGACTTCAACCTCAACTGGGGTCTGGATCTTTCTCTGTAAAACACTGGGAAGCCACAGCAGGCTCTAAACAGGGGGAGAGGGTCAAGTGTGTGTTCTGGAATTAGCACTCTGGAGAAACTGTGAGGCAGCTTGGAGGAGCCAGGGTGGGGACCCTGAGGGGGAGGAGCTGATGGAGCCTGACCCCAGCCTGCCCTTCCCTCCCCACAAAGTTTCTCACAGGCCACATGCAGCTCAAGGCTCTTGACAAGTTGGGCTTCCTCAGGGGCATCGTAGTCTTCCACTCTGCAGCCGTAGACCCCACTCTCATTCCGACGAATGCCCTCCAGGGTAAAGTTCCCCCTGAGGCTGACATTTAGCTGTTTCTCCTGCTTGTCCTGAGTAAGTGGATGACACACAAGAATTAGACGCTGTTCTGGGGGGAACTGGGGGTGGAGTCAGAGGTCACCAAGTTGGTGTCATACTTAGCTAGAGCCAGTTTGAGCCAAAGGTCAGGGGTCATACCGGTTGGGTATATCCTCCAAACTATCTCAAGTCAGGGTCAGACATCCTTCAGATCAAGGGTTCTTGTGAAGCTAAGTACCCCAAAACTAGCAGTTGGGGTTGTGGTATGGGTCAGAGGCAGAGCCCCTGCCTAGAATCCCCCAGTGAGGGGCTGGGGGTGTGGCTCAGTGGTAGAGCCCCTGCCTAGAATCCCCCAGTGAGGGGCTGGGGGTGTGGCTCAGTGGTAGAGCCCCTGCCTAGAATCCCCCAGTGAGGGGCTGGGGGTGTGGCTCAGTGGTAGAGCCCCTGCCTAGAATCCCCCAGTGAGGGGCTGGGGGTGTGGCTCAGTGGTAGAGCCCCTGCCTAGAATCCCCCAGTGAGGGGCTGGGGG